GGGGTATGTGGTTGGAGCTGTGGGTGGTGCAGCGCAAGCCATCCATGGTCCCTCTGTAGGCGCAGGCGTCCTGTGGCTTGCCACAGTGACAGGCAAATCCGAAACCGGATGCCGCCAACCATATATATGACGTAGGTCTCCGGTTTTAATACTCTGAGCTCAAACGAGTTGAATACACTACAGTGATCCACGTATCACAATATCACAATTATGCTGCCCTACAAATGTTGTCACCAATCCTCAGCACCGGCTATCCTGTACTAACCGTATTGAGATACAAAGCTTGTTGGTATCCTGATCCTGACTACTTTACTGATGCTTCCTCTTCATCCCTATATATGTTTTATTTTATTTTTTAACTATGTCTCACCATACAGTGACAACTATCTAACTTATTTGGTTCTGTCTTTCCTTTAATTGTGCATTTTTCTATAATCTTGGAGAATCAGTGTTTTTGTCTGTATAGCAACCTGTGTTGGGTGTCAAACACGTTGTAATGAAGTACAGGATATAGGTCATGTTGCAATCAGTGCAATAAATTCAGGTGGATTTCAGAGTAGAAATAATATCCAGAGATAATTGTAGATCTAGAACGTGGCGAACATGCTTGTTTCCTGGTGAATCATCAGCAGATGCGTATTGAACTTATGCTGGCCCACTTCAACTCCGCGCATAACAACCTCACGGTTGCTTTCGAACTAGAACGTGACGACTATTTGATCTACTTTGACGGCCGAATCAATAAGGCATCAGAAGGGACACTGCGGAGGTGACAGCACAGAAATGGAACTCGGAATTGGCAATAAACCTGCTTCCGTAGTTTCATTCCAATCAGCCAGAATGATACTCTTGTCCGTTGTCTCACGTAGAGAGCGAGGCGAATATGCACAGAAGCTACGCTTTCTCATGAACTAAGTTTCATCCAAAGCGTGCTCGGAAGTAATGGATATCCACTGCTAATCATGCAGGTCCGCAGTCGTCACCCATGGCTTAGTGGCACAAGATGCTGGCATCCGGCTGTCATGGGGTCGGAACCTGGCTGGAGTATGAGGAAGGCACACCGCTGACGAGATCCAGAAGGTCGAAACGCCGGCGTCTGGTGCTTCTCCAGACCACCATAAGCCTGCTGATTGAGAATGACCATGATGAATTAGCTGAAAAATATCCGTGATTGCGACTTTTCAAGAAAACTGTCTGTTAATAACTGTCATTGCATCAAATGTATACTCTGGCATATCCAAAGCACTATATGAACACCATAATGTCAACAACTTAAAGCTCCTTCCACATTTGTGATTACCCCCTCTCCTCACTTTCAGGGTGTGCTTACCACATTCGTGGCACTAACGCAGTCATTGGGCCTTTGGAATGGCGTGTTTCCCATTTTGGGTACATGGGCTGGTGGTCACGGGGTACGCAAACACATGTAAGTCGAAACACCTTTCAGCTGACAGCCAATGCACACAGTATGTGCAATTTGTTGTTTGACCGGTTTGGTCCGCATAGTGTGAAAGTGTGTCTAACCGATGCAGCAGCAGCAGCAGCAGCAGCAGCAACAACAACAACAACAACAACAACAACAACAACAACAACAGGGGCAGCTAGTGCTTGCTTAGTTTTTGGACATGGTTGAAATGAAAGTAGCGAAAGTGTTGAAGTGCGTGCTTGCTGTCGAACTTATCGAGAGGTTCTCATAATATCAACGATGTGTCCGTCTGATTAGAATTTGAGGTCACAGGTGTGCTTGTGGTGCGTATCCTCTCGACAAACAGCAGTTAGGGAAATAATTGTGGCGCAGTGAGTTGTCTAGGCGTCTTTTATTTATCAGCATCATCATCAATACACGTTAGCCGAGGGTGGATAACACACCTCAGCTAATTTGCCGAAGTACAAAAGGGCTAAGAGATTAAGTAATACAGACTAAAATGTTTAAAACCAAGTGACATAATGCCAAAATCACATTATGCATTGGGTTTAAGATCGTTGTTGTAGAGGGAAACTAAAGGGGAGAGGATGGCCAAAGAGACACAACACAAACGCCACTGAACTCAGCTGTTTACCATGGCAGCTAGTGTATTCAAACCAGCCATGCTCATCGTCCTTCGGTCTTCAACCAGGCAGTCGGGGAACATAAACCGATGCCAACTTCGAAGTGAGGGACTTCATTCCTCTTGGCCAAGTCACCGCTTGGTCTCCCGTCTTCTTCTTCCATTCAGACGCCCGGCGTGCACATTTTAAATGTTGTTCGACTTAGTGGTAGAAAGAACGTACGACAGGATGGCTTTCCACAGGGAGTACACACAAATCGAGATAAAATTTCAATGACGTTTCAGCCGCCTATACTTATTTGCCAAATTAAATGATGATCTCTCAGGTTGGTGTTATGGATGAGTTGCAGGAGGGTGAGGATAACGTGCTTGCAGTTCGTCAGAATTTGGTTGGGCATTGTCTGATTAACCCGAGGGTGCTGATACCGACTGTGGTACATTCGCAGGGATTTTACTCCAACTTGTTAGGGCGGCTGGAAGAGTCCCATAGCCTTCTTGGATGACATTTGTTGCGGGGTCGCGAGTGCAGCAACGTTGCGCTTCTGCTATGAAAGACACGCGTGGACGGCTTATTCTACGTACAGTAACACAAATGCTAGACTTGTAGGAAAGATTGAGGAAACAAAGCAAGGAAGCTTTCTGCGCAAAAACAACAAATGTTTCCTGTCGGTTTTCGAGGCGTTTCTGCATTATTTGATGCAGCCTAGGTCGCACTGGATTACAGTCCAGATGCCCCGTTTCTGTGGGGTGTTATGCAAGCGATATTCTTCAAATTTGTGTACACATGTAGGGACCGGACGACCCTCGCAGTATCCTTGACCCACGTGCGACTGGTGGCGGTTGACCAGCAGCGAAGCGTCGGTACTGCATACCGCCGTACTGCTGTTGCCTCCTTTGGAATGGTCCAGGTAGATGGGGTCGATCCTAGTTCCACCACCCGCCGTTTCTGTGCAACTACCTCGTTCTGTCAGTAAGTTGATTGTGCATGACCAACGTTAACAGAATCTATACTGCTCTGGCGCCATGACAATATTTTTCCAGAAACGGCAGCTTCCAACACTAGGTCATAACTTGCATAGTTCGCATGATTACCAGCCTTAAAACTGGTGTGCTAATGCCCTACTTTCATGTAGTCGGAGCTTGTTGATCATCCAAGCAACTTTAGAAGAATCACATTGGTGGCTGTGATAATTTTGTAGCGAAAACTTCTCTTGTCTTTGAAGAAAGTTATCGATCACCGATGAACTGTAAGCACATTGTAAATATAAGTCCTTTATCACGAGTTCTGGACTTAAAATTACATGTATAAACTCTGGGCTTGGTAAGATGGATGATGGAACGCGACACAGACCGGCTGCATGTTCGAAAGTGGGAGAGTATTTTAGCCGTAGAACAAGGACCGCCTAATCGGCGCTTTTTGTAATGCTGTCTTTGGGGACAAGTGGGGGGATACCATGCTTCACTTTACAAAGGATGTTGGCATGCCTGTACAGTAGCTTGTTGTTAGTTAGAACATTTCGGCTAAGCACTGTGGATAAATAACTATGTCCGCATAAACAAGCGTGGTACAATGTGTTGCGTCAAGCCTAACCGCAGAACTGGAGCAGTGCCCGTCTATCACATGGTTGCTGATGAGCCTAACGGCATTGCTTATACGATTGTCGAGATTATCCACGACTCTGCACTTAAAGAACAGAGTGCGGAAAAATGAGTACTTAGAGGGGGATGGTATGAGTAGTTAGGTGTATATGCCATGGCTGTAATCACTATGCTCGTATGTTCCCTAAAGGTTATTTTAAATCGACCCTAACTTCGACTACTGCTATGAGGACCGTTTGCCACATCCACCTCACGAATGAATGGTTTTCTATCGGAACCCGTGACTAAGAAGAAAGTATCATACGGGCAGGCTCAGTGTATACGTACATCTAACATGTTGCGAGAAATAAAGACTAAACACCTCGCACCACGTATGTAACAACTTGTTCGGACCGAGTGCATCGAAAATGTAGCGCATGTACCGTATCAGTTGTACACGGTTCATCTGCAGGAAAGTGGGCATGTAGTGGAAATTTGCTTTCCCGACCTTATAAAATCCTGATTGATGAAGTGGATATGTAGACATCTAGACAGGTCGAACTCAAATTCGGTTGTAATGCATCTGGAAGAACGCGTCAATCCAGCATAAACACCGTCTTCGGATCAGGTCCATTCACAATTATACATTGTTCATTGCCCAACTTTTAGCCATTTAGAGCAAACAGTAGAGGTGTGGCGCCTGACACAGTGGCACAGTAACTAAATTAATCGCCCGAGACAGTGATAAAATTTTCGCTCGCCCCTAGCAGTTGTAAATCCATAAACCTTCAAAATCGACTCAGGGTAATGTACACATTGGTTTCCAATGAAATGGATGATTGTTTGGGACACAGAAGAAAATCTAGTGAAACTGAGCACGCTGGGATAAGTGAGGGGCTTGCTGGGTAGAACGTTTGCAACGGCGTGCCATATAGTGCAAAGGTTTCGTTGGTCATACATAGTAAAGTAAACATATTCAACCCTCAGCTTCTCTGGAAATTTTTCCATTTATATTTGTTTTTGAAAAACAATTAACGGTACTAAAAATGCCGCCCCCTGTCACATGCCTCCCGGAACGTATCGATCCCCCGCTACCTTCCTATGCTAGCCTTTGGCCTGACACGGTGAGAGAATGACTACTTGTTCATCTTCCTTATTATGCGACTACAACACTGCCAGGACGAAGCGTTCAACACTTGAGCGACTTATGTTACAAGTCGTCACGTCATTCCAGAAGTTGCTGACGGCTGTCATACCTAAATTTTGACCAGTCGATTGAGTGTAACCAGGTTACCATCAGTTCTCACAACCGGTCGTTTATTTTGCGAGATCCTTAGTGAACTACATAACAAACGATCCCAGGACCTAATGTAAAACACGACTGAAGTGAGAATACACACGCAGCTATAATGTAAGTTCTTTAGCGATATAGTTCATTCCTTACGAATCCATCCGCGGCTACGCAAACGGAAACTGACTAGTAATTCCATATCTCATACCCGACCACCGAGAAAAGCGAATCAAAAATACCCACTGACACAGGTAAGACAGCATAATAATAAGCTCGAGATGAGCACGAATTTGGAGGACATTCTTGTCCGTTGTGCTTTTCAACGAGCTGTACCAAAGACACTGAGTAATGACGGGTGGTATTTTCAACCGCTGCGGTCTGAAAATAATGGACCACGGGCTTCGTAGAATAGTAACTACGTTCGCGAATCACCAGGTGGTTAGTCGCATTAATTGATCGACTGCCTTCTCTTCAGGTAACCCGACTCATGGTAATAGCGAATTGGAGGTGAGTTATCGCGCTGTTTCACGGTCACGTTAATAGCCAAAATCTACTGTTAATCAAGATTTCTCTCCGAGGACAATAAGCTAACGCTATCGGTTCGTGCTCAAATAACGTTTGAAACGACGAACGAACTGTCTAACACTTTCCGGGGCGTTTGGTAGTTATCAGATTTGGTTGGTTCATGAAGCGACCCCATCCGATCCCCCCCCCCGTATGTGCAATGCAGTTCGCCTGGTCAATGTAAATGAGTAGTACCATTAAATGATATTCTGTGACTACTTCACAACGGCGGTGGTTGCGATACATCGGACTATATTCTTTGTTCCTAGGATACGCGAAACACTTCAGTGCGCTTCATGCGAAATATGCTTGCCTAGCCTGAGAAACTTGCCTAAAAATGGAAATGTTACCACAATACAAACTTATACCAAACCGATCAGTATTCAAAATCTTCTCAGCTTATGCATGCCTTTTGCTAAACATACTTATTCTGAGCTAATTCTATGAATCACGAGCTGCTGTTCCGGATAAGCAAAATTCCATCCTGACGAACCAAGAGAGCCACGAATGAGTTCACAACCAGTCTGCAGTCAAATGAAATGACCACAATATACCCTCGAATTCTCCGCTACGGCGACTATGTAACGAGGCCGCATAAAAGCAACTTGTGCAACGTGTGCCACGCTTTGTGCACACGCACGGTGTTTGCGCCTTGATGATTCATCACTCACACGGTTTCTCACTCAAGCGGCGGCGAGTGAGTCACGAGCGGCGCTTCAGACTCCACACACTGCACAAGCTTTGAGTGGACTCTCCATAGGTGGTCAGTTTGGAGTTCTTTCGTTTAGCGTTGTGCGTTCATCATCACATGTGTCAATGGAGCGCTTTGTCAGGCACCAGACACCACGACATCGAGCACCCTCATACGGCAGTGTGCTCCCACCACAATCCACAATGTCAGTCTTGTTTTATGACTCAAGCTGAGTACACTTGTGTTCGAGTCTTTGAACTCTACTTCCTTTGGTCTTCCGCGAGACGGATAACTCAGGCTTTTGCTGTTCAAATCGTTGATCGTTCACACTGCTGTTGCCTAGCTGTGCCAGCGTAGCCACCAGTTTCAGAACTTAATTCTTCACGGACAAGAGTTTATTCGGCGGTAACAACCCCGCTAAAATTGCAACATGTTTGACACACCGAAGGCCCTCACCGTTTGTTTAACTGCGTCAAAAGCTTGAACGGGTGCAGCATGCAGCCACCAGGCTGATTCCCAACTTACGAGGTATGCCACACGAAGCCAGATGTAAGAAAATAGGGCTGAACACCCTAGCTTATCGTCGGCTGAGGGTTGACCTCATCATGACGCACCGGATATTACATCTGAGTGACTACCGCATGTTGAGACAACTGCTTCATCTGCGCACACCAAGCTGCACGCGAGCATACCGGTATAAACTTATCGTACCGAAGTTGAAGCGGGTCGCTCACCAACTCTGTTTCGAACGCCGAGTGGTGAATTTCTGGAACGACCTGCCGCAGCACATAGTAGAGGCGAACTCAGTGTCCGAATTTAAGAAGCTCCTAGACAAACACTTTGCAGAGACAAATATAGAGAGCGTAACAATAAATAAGGAGTATCTGTTCAAGAGCGACGAATGATGCAGTTACACAGAGAAAGCTCTACCTGATGCTTCGTACCAGTATACAGTATTCAAAACTGGCAGCTCGTCGACTCATAAGAGTCATTGTTTGTGTAAGTGAACGAACTATATATATATATATATATATATATATATATATATATATATATATATATATATATATATATATATATATATATATATATATATATATATATATATATATATATATATATATATATATATATATATATATATATATATATATATATATATATATATATATATGATTTGGTGGAATGTATAAGTTACACCAACTCAGTGAGACCACGGGAAAGGCATTAGATAGATGTTTTGTCCGTTATTGGCTGTTCCGTCAGCCTGATGATGTCTGGACGATGAAGCGAGTAAACCTCCATGACTCCAATTTGACTCCACAAGCTTCTATGTTCGCCGGAAAAGCGATAGTGAATGCTGAAAAAGGGGACTAGAAAACGTACCCCTGTGTTGCGCTATCGCGCACACACGCGGAATACTATCATTTATTATCACGTATTGTCAACACAGTTCAGTTGTGCGACGTCCTATCCAAGTTCGATAACACGCTCATGAAATTTGTGACCCACAAAGAATCTCTGGAATTGCGACACGGATTCGAATTCCGCTATTGTCCCTGACAATGGATTGCGACGCAATCCATTCCCACAACGTGTACTTCAAAATGGCCCTCAAAACCAACTAGGAACCTCTGTGCCAAGCTTTTCCCGTCGTGACTCGGTAGCTAAATGGGTAGTGTCTCAAACTAACATCCTGATGGTCCCGAGTTCCAGGCCTGTTGTCTCAACCCCATGGTATCAAATAACTTCGAAACCCGTCGTAGTGTACAGTGTTTTCGGACGGGTAACACCCAATGTCTAGCTGGTTCAGCTACGGCCCTAATGATCGAAAGACCAAGGTTCACTTCAATGGGAATCGCGGTCCATCTTGAGATTGTAAGCCACAACCCGCACTTCAAAAATGACCCTCCAATCTGTACACCAAGAACTTCTACGAGAGATACAGGGTGCAGCGGTTGGTCAACCGGAGTGTACTTACGCCCATCACCACACTTCCCGAGGTTCGTGCATAAGGACTTGAAAGAACTGACTGGCAGATCGACATGTTCAAACCAGAAGAACAGGTGGTCGACCTCATTCTGAAGTACGCGGTAGTCGTTGGGTGCATCAATTGCCCTCCATGTACTCAAATCTCTAACAAACAAGGCACAGGGCGACTAACGAGGCTGAGATACTTCCTTGGTGCGTATCAAGAACAAAATTAGCCCCAGTACTGTGCTTTGGCGTACCCCATTGGTGGAAGGATACCTGTCAGTTAGATGATCATCCATCTGTTCACTCTACTTCTACACAATAAGGAAGTCGCTGATCCATTGGTGTAGTGAGCCAGCGGCGCTACACATCCTTAGTTTGTGTAGAAGGATCTCATGGTTCACATCTCCGCCCGCAGAATTCCGCCTGTCCAGCGCTTGGAACCATTCATATCGCGTCACCAGAATTTTGGTGTACAGTACAAAATAGCTCAACTCCATGTGCAGTAGACTCAAATCGCAACGCAGGTTGTTTCTGATTGTCGAAGGGCCATCCGATAGTCAGTAGTGTGCAAGTCTGCTGTCCAATGAGGCAATGTAAACCGCCATCCAGTATTTTACAAACAGCCATGAGCATTTAGCCCACATCACATGTCGGAACTCGATGTGAATAAGTTATTAGGCATGATACGCAGCGATGCATTCTTCAGTGGCTTGCATACTTTTTCCACGGGTGGCTCTATGACGACTGCTTTCCAATCTGAATCCCCCAGCCAGCGCAGACATTGCTGTTAGTTGTGCTCATTCCCATTCCCATTTTAATCTCTTAGAACCGCTGTCGTAGAGTAGAAATCTTCAGGTTTCATAGTCTCATCGTGACGATGCTTGTGGCCGGACCAGCGATACTGAAAAACATAACCGTTACTCTCACGGATACTTAAGAGTGAACTTAAACATTTCGTCAAATTGGACCTCCAGTCATGAAATAATTCACTATGAATGATATTTTCGGCTTATTCGTCGAAATTGCTTGGATTCAGTGCGGTCGTTGTCCTGCTCACTCGTTAACACTGAGGGCGAATTTGGACTTTGTAGTTTGCTCACTATTGTCTGATCGTACAGTAGAAACTATCCTCGTTTTCAACTAACAGGCACGTGTCATTTGGATGGATGAATAGCCTGAATCAATGGCACAGTCGGGGAAGTTGTGCGTTATTTTTTATCCAGAGAAGAAATCATATTTCAAAGCAAATTATGCGGTTCAAAATCACTCTTTTCATAAGTTCTTGAAAAATTTTCACTCCCAGTTTCTTAGAAATGGTGGTTGATGAACTAATGTTTCCTAGGTTACAATGTCCACAAGTTCTATGGAACCTTTTGCCAACTAAGGTCCCTATATTAAAGCTCCTACGGGTCAGTTTTTCTTTGTACAAGCTATCAGATAATGTGTCATGCATCCTCCCTCATTGGTCGAATTTCAGAGTATCAGCCTGCATAACGACTACGATTGTTGTGTTATATACTTTAACTGCTCTCTGCAGCGATGCGTTGATTGTTAGACAAATTCCACAGATATCTGATAAGTTGTACCACCTATGGTTATGGACGTCGTAGTTTTCGGACAAAGTTTGTTTCTTGGAAATTATGGTGTTGCTCATCCCAACACTGGCACCCCAAGACCACGGTTTCGTCCTGGTTGGGACTCATCAGTTGGAGATAGTCTGAGTTGGGTCGGAAGTCAGCGCCTAGTGGCTCATGATTGACGCCACAAGCATTATGCCACTGAGAACCACGTGTAACGCTCGAGCCACTAGGCTCTGAGTTCCAGCCCAACTCAGGCCATCTCAAAGTGATGAGTCCCAACCAGGACGAAACCGCGGTCTTCGGGTGCCAGTGTTGGGATGAGCAACACTATAATTTCCATTTTACTTACGGCCTTTTTGATCGGATTGACCGAGGTCTCAATAGAGGTTGCTTATAGCAACCCAACCACCAGCGCATTCTCCAAGTCCAAAGTTTGTGGCTGTCTTTCCTAGGCACCCACTACTCTCCTCAGAAACGATACAAGTTGCTCCATTAAAGATTGCTGAACGATTGTGACATTTACTGTATGGTGGTTTTCCCCTAAGAGCTCCTCTGGCTGACAAGCGTTTCTCCATGTTACATGACTTTTAAAAACATCAGAAAACAACACCAAGTTTTAGAAATTACCCTTATTAAACCCAATTCTCTAGCTTTTTCTGATAGCGATACTGTCCAATCCTCCTTACTTTATACACTACAGTGGCTGGATTCCTTTGCTTCTCGGATGGTGTCTTTTGGCTCCAGTACCAGTTTTACTAATGGTATTTGCAACGGCCTCCTCCTACGATCTAACTTATCTACGCTGTCACCTGGGCACCGACTGGATGGCACCCTTTGTGATCATACCCCACGTGCTTTCAAAGTTTTCAAGCAGCAGACTTCTCGCGGTGGCCTACTTCTTGGCGCTTTCATTGTGTCTATTGCTTTCACAAGTGAGTATATACACTTTTGAAGAGAGCGAGTTATAGTTGGCATTAGATGTGAGATTCCACCATAACGCCTCTAGTAAATAATGCAAATTATCAGTGGCTCAATGAAGCTTCTTAGTCGTTGAGCTGCTTGTCGAGCTTCGCAATTTCTGCGGAGATCGTTTCGTCTCCAGCCGATGTGATATCAGCAGCACGACGCTTGTTTTTGTTCCCTTGTGTTAGTCTAAACCATGAAAATTTATGGATGGATGCGGTCAACGACTATTCCGGTCTTTACATGTGCATGTCCACAACGATGATGTGCGTAGGCATATGCTAGGCAATGATGATCAGGCAAGTTCTGTAGGAAAACAGATTACATATATATATATATATATATATATATATATATATATATATATATATATATATGGTTGACGGCATCCGGTTTAAGATTTGCCTGTCACCGTGGCCAGCCACAGGACGCCTGCGCCTACAGTGGGACCATGGGTGGCTTGCGCTGCACCACCCACAGCTCCAACCACACACCCCATATCCAGTGTAAACCCGAAGGAATAAGACCGGGAGGCATGCGGATGGGATCCACGTTTCATCAATGGAGCCGGCCCACACTCCTTCACAGGCAAACACAAGCACACTGTATTTGGGGAATCAAACGCACACAAGGCGGTGGCTGGACCGTAGTCCGCTCCATACTGAGTGCATGCAACCACTCTTCGCGCCTAACACGGCCACAAGGACCGTGCACCCTGTCCCCTCCAGCAACGACCAACTGTCTCCTAGAGCCAGTATGGAAGAGGTAATGGGTAATAGACAGGTAGGCACCTTGTCAACATGCACATCAAGCGCAGCCACACCGGGGATATCAAACAACAGGCAATCATTTGAGAAAGAGAGAGAGACAAGAAAATAACTCGATTAATGCATAAGAAAACGGTGACATAAACCTTACGTTAATGAGCACAGGTAATAAGTTGTTTACAAAAGAATCCTAGCTAAGTGCACGAGGTCAGAAAGTATACTTTACCGAGTACCTCGAACACAAAAATGTTATGGAAATCGACTACAATTGGCTTAAGCGAAGTGTGCAAGTTAATGGAATAGAGTACAGTTAGACATGTATATGAGAAAGAAAAGCATTTAGGCAAAATTAAGAACCCACCACCTGAAATAAAGAGACTTAGCATGCAAGCACGTGGTTAGTAAATCGAATGCAGCGTGCCTACAAACGCTGCGCCGGTGCTGTCTACCTTCTCTGCAGGACCCGTCGTCGCTTCTGTAGTGGTCCCGAGTGGCCTCGCTCATGGCTCACAAGGAAAGGGTGACATATATCTTAAAGTAATGAGCATCTGAAGTAAGTTGTTTACAGAAGAATGCGAGATAAGTTCACGAGGTCAGAAGGCAAACTTTACGGAAATACCATGAACACAAAATGGTTTCGGAAAGGACTAGAATTGGCTTAAGTGACGTGTGCAAGTTTATAGAAGAAAGTACGGGTAGACATTGATAAGAGAAAGCAAAGTATTGGGACAAAATTGAAAACCCACCACCTGAAATGAACAGACTTATCACGCAAGCAAACGGTGACGTAAATCTTAAATTAGTGAGCAAATGAAATAAGTAGTTTACAAAAGAATGCGTTTACAAAAGAATACGAGGTAAGTTCACGAGGTCAGGTGGTTTATTTGACGGAAATGCTACAAACACGAAAATGTTATCGAAATAACTACACGTGGCTTAAGCGACGTGTGCAAGTTTATGGAAGAGAGTACTGATAGACATTTATATGGGAAAGAAAAGCATTAGGGCAAAATTGAAAACCCACCACCTGAAATAAAGAGACTTAGCATGCAAGCACGCGGTTAGTAAATCGAATGCAGCGTACCTACAAACGCTGCGCCGGTTCTGCCTACGTTCACTGCGGGACCCGTCGTCGCTTCGGCAGTGGTCCCGAGTGACCTCTCTCATGGCTCATTAGGCCTGCCTGACTAAGGCACTCGCGACCGCATGTTCTACAGCACCATGCGCTCGATGTCGATGGAGTACAATTCATCGGTGCTTGCCGCTTCCGCAACTGCCGCTTCTTCTCTGCATGCATGAGGGCTTTCTCCCGCACTTCAGCAACTGCCTTCGTGATTAGATCGCGCCATGCACCACGATCAACCGCCTTCGATTCCCATGACCTGCAATCAAGATTAGAACGTGTGAGGCTCACTTTAATCATGTCATGGTAACGTAACTTTGGTTTCCCCACGTGTCGCTTCCCAATACTCAGCTGACCGTTTAAGAGTTGTTTCGGTATCCGAGTAGTGTCCATACGCCACAGATGACCGAGAAACCTCAGTTGTCTCAGTAAAAGTATGCAGTC